TCGTAGACCGGTAGCGGAAGCGTTATAACAACGCGGTTGATGTAGTCATACGTCTTCACGGCCCGACCGATCAAGCACCGAAACTACGGCACCTTCGAGTTCTAGCACACGTTCAGCTCGATGACGATCCCCGGACTCCGATCCAGCAAAGTGTCGGGGAAGAGTTCTGTCAGCACGACGGCGTGGTGACGATCTTGATGTTCTACCGTCGCAGGGCTTCGCCTAAGCACCGCTACAGTATTATCGAGGTGGACTATGGTGGAGGGGGGCACCGCACACGGCTAAGAGATCCAAGGGACCAATTCTTGTGTCTATGGGGTGCCCCCCTCCTCCGTATATAAAGGAGTGGAGAAGGGGGGCGGCCAAGGGGGGTGGCGCGCCCAAGGGGGGAGTCCAACTCCCACCAGGAGTAGGACTCCCCCTTTTCCTATTAGGAGTAGGAGAGGGAAGGAAGAGGAAGGAGGGAGGAAGGAAAGGGGGGCCGACCCGCCTCCCAATTCGGATTGGGCTTGGGGGGCGCGCCCCCTCCCTTGCTCCTTTCCCCTCCTTTCCACTAAGGCCCAATAAGGCCCATATACCTCCCAGGGGGTTCCGATAACCTCCCGGTGATCCGGTATTGTCCCAATCTCACCCGGAACCTTTCCGGTGTCCAAATATAGTCGTCCAATATATCGATCTTTATGTCTCGACCATTTCGAGACTCCTCGTCAAGTCCGTGATCATATCCGGGACTCCGAACAACCTTTGGTACATCAAAATATATAAACTCATAATGTAACTGTCATTGTAACGTTAAGCGTGCGGACCCTACGGGTTCGAGAACAATGTAGACATGACCGAGACACGTCTCCGGTCAATAACCAATAGCGGAACCTGGATGCTCATATTGGCTCCCACATATTCTACGAAGATCTTTATCGGTCAGACCGCATAACAACATACGTTGTTCCCTTTGTCATCGGTATGTTACTTGCACGAGATTCGATCGCCGGTATCTCAATACCTAGTTCAATCTCGTTACCGACAAGTCTCTTTACTCGTTCCGTAATACATCATCTCACAACTAACTCATTAGTTGCAATGCTTGCAAGGCTTAAGTGATGTGCATTACCGAGAGGGCCCAGAGATACCTTTCCGACAATCGGAGTGACAAATCCTAATCTCGAAATACACCAACCCAACATGTACCTTTGGAGACACCTGTAGAGCTCCTTTATAATCACCCAGTTACGTTGTGACGTTTGGTAGCACACAAAGTGTTCCTCCGGTAAACGGGAGTTGCATAATCTCATAGTCATAGGAACATGTATAAGTCATGAAGAAAGCAATAGCAATATACTAAACGATTGTGTGCTAGGCTAACGGAATGGGTCATGTAAATCACATCATTCTCCTAATGATGTGATCCTGTTAATCAAATGACAACACATGTCTATGGTTAGGAAACATAACCATCTTTGATCAACAAGCTAGTCAAGTAGAGGCATACTAGTGACACTTTGTTTGTCTATGTATTCACACATGTATTATGTTTCCGGTTAATACAATTCTAGCATGAATAATAAACATTTATCATGATATAAGGAAATAAATAATAACTTTATTATTGCCTCTAGGGCATTTTTCCTTCACCATCAATGAAAATAATAGGCCTGCATCCCTTGAGCCACCCCCTTTTACATGCATCATAAGACCAATATAGAGTTTTCAAACATTCCCTGCCCAGTGGGAAATCTTTGTCTTTAACAAGCTCAGTTGACAGAAGAAATGTAGACCCAGGGTTGGTATTCCTCAATTCATGACCATAGTCCCAAAGCCTACTGAACTGCTCTTCTTCATCACCATGGATCTCCTTAAGTTATGCAGTACTTGCCCTAGCTAGATTCCATCCGTTAGGGGTGACATGAAATTCCTTGGTGATCTTTCTTGAAAATATACCTAGTGACATCTTCTGGTCATCTCTAAACTCATCTATGAAGTACTTGCACAGGAATTTTGCTGTCAGTGACCTTATCTTCCATTTCTTCTGACACATATGTTCTCCATAGTAAGTCTTGATGACAAATCCCCCTGTCCTGTTGTCATTGCCAGCATACAAATACCATGGGCAACCATTTTCACAAACTGCTTCAAGTCTCCTCTTGTCATTCTTTAACTTCTTGATCTGCACTCTGTTTCTAACTGAATATGCAGTCAGTGCATGTCTTAGCTCAACCACATCAGCAAATACCATCCCAACTTTTAAAACGGGGGAAATCATGTACACCTTTGCATTGAAGGCTTTAAACTTGTACCTTAGTTCATCTGCTTGCTCAGTTGATAGGTTGAGATCTTCATCCTCAAGCAAGTGTTCAGGCTCCACATCATCCTCATCCTGATCAGCTTCTTCATCAACATCAAAGTCAATGTTGTGATCATAAAGATCATCATCACCATCATCTATGTCATAGTCACTATCACTAAAATCAGAATCTGAAACAACTACATATTCAATAACTGTTTCTCCATCTTCAGTTAGCATGTTGTGCTCAGCACCCTCAATAAGCAAATTGTGTGGGTCTGTTCCAATTGGTGCAATCTCTGAGAAGGGATCTTCAGTTAGCATGTTGTGCTCAGTACCCTCAATAAGAAAACTCTGTGGGTCTGTTCCATTTGCTGCAATCTCTGACAAAGGGTCTTCTACAAACACTGAAACTAGGCTATGGGAAGGGAATGCACTTGCTGCTGCAAAACTTGTTGTTGTTATCAAAGGTAGGGGCAATGTGCACACCAAGTCAGACCTGAAGTTGCTGATGAAATCTGTATGGTCAACCATGACTACAGGCATCTTATGCTCAGCACTAGCTCTGATCATATGCTGCACATCCTCATCACTGCTAATTCTGATCAAATCATCTGATATTGGTTTATTTGGTTTGCTGAAGTAAATGATGTGCTCACTCACAGGATATCCCAACCAAATCAACTGTTGTTCAAGGAATGCATAGGAGAAAGTGCCAGAGTCAACATAGTCTAGCACCTCAACAGAAGGGTTCCAGTACTCCAGGTTACTGATTGGGCCACAGAAAATTCCACCATGCTCAAGCTCCAGTGTAAAAGATGGACTGTCCACCCTTTCTCCAGTTGCTGCATCACACACTGTATTCAAAACAAAGATGCATCAGATTTAACATACTTGAACAAAAGCTTAAGGTTCAGTTAACATACTTGAACCTTTCAGTTAACTACAGTAAGCTGAAAAGATTCGGTTATACAGTAATTGAAAAAAATCAGTTAACTACAGATAACTTAACATATTAAGAGAACTAAATAAAACTAACCATAAATGAAATACAACATTAGCAAACCATTAACAAAACCATTCAATTCACTGAAACTTCGCTGCACATACCATTAGCACTACCAAAACTATACTAAATGGTGTATAACAAAATAGCCAAGTTTATAATCTGTACAAAACATCTTCAACAGCAAAAAGGAGTTAAATTTCACAACACAAGCTGATGCTTGAGTAGAGTTCAAGCTAAAGCAGAAGGAAAAGCCAACAACAAAGGCATAAACATCTAATTTGTCTGCCATAAACCCTAGCTATCATGTCGAACCCAAACCTAAACTCATCGGCCGAAACCCTAGCTGCACTTCGCCATACATGATCCTAAGCAAAAAACACCACTACACGACCCCGATTCCAGCACAAATGGACGGGATTCAAGCTGCAAACGGCGGGGCGACGAGCTCAGAGCAGAGCAGAGGCGGGGCGACGAGGAGAGGGACGAAAAGAAAGGAGAGGCGGGGCGACGAGCTCACAGTAATCAGGATGATATACACCGAACGGTCGGACGAGATGAGCAGATGCCGGCGTCTCCACACCGCCGGCGAATGGCGGCGACGACGCCTCCGTCGCTGACGTCACCATTGCCAAGCCAGCCCGTGAGCTTTGTCGCCCCCACAACAACCAAGTGAATCCTCTCAAACCGGCCGTGAACTCGATTCCGACAGATTTAATTCAGGTGTGCTATATTGCGGGTTGATAAAAGGAAACGGCACGGGGTTTTGTGCAAAAGTGTGTGCGTTGACCGGTCCAGCCACCTGTCTGCCAATTGGCGAGCTGTGATTGACCTGGGACTAAATCATCACATAAGGTGCAAGTTGTGGTATGGTGGAGTCAAGTTTTGCAACTTTAGGACTAAATCGTCACATTCTGTGCAAGTTAGGGTACTTGGGGTGCTATTACCTCATTTTCCTGTATGTATTTCAACGTCAGCAACACACACACACATTTTTGGTACCATCAGGAGGAAGCAACCAAGCAGACTTTGCATAAGTACCAACCAACGGAATTTCTTTCACAGCAGTGACGACATCATCATTTCTTACAGTTGCACACTCTGCTCTGTCCAGGAAAATTGCGACGACGGAAAAAACAGAGTCGACCCAGAATGAACAAACGCTATCCAAGAAATAACACGACCGGACCGGAAAATTTTCCCCCTTGATCTATCTAAAACCTTGCTATGCTTCATCCCAACTTTGACGAGCCGGACCCTGCGCCAGAAATGGCAAAGGGAAACAGATGCACATTGTCTGCAAGCTCGGTTCCGAGTTTCAAGGCCTTTTCGGCAGCAGCTGCTCACTTCGGTCTCTACCTCTCTTCGAAGCTGTATGTGCACAAGTTTCCTAGGCTTCAGCTTGCTCATCCTGCCGCACGCCATTCACCTGTGATTGAACCCTGCGGCCACATACAAATTATCACTTGACCCAGTTATGGAATGAGCTGGTGCAAGAATGAGGTAATTCCTACTTTACGTTGGACTAACCAAACACTGTCCTTTACTCCCTCCGTCCCATAATATAAGACGTTATTACAACCGATATACTCATACATCTGTTGTAATAACATCGTATATTATGGGACCGAGGGAGTAGTATGTAAAACCTTCTGTTCTTCCAAAACTACATTCAGTGGAGTGGGCTAAATTCTATACTCACTACCGTTTCAACTATTCTATATGGAAAAAATTACCAGAAAATCTCTGCAGAGAACCATTACCACCAATCAGCTGCGACTCAATTCTTCTTTCTTGACCCAAATGCATTCTTTCAGGCCAAACAGAATTCAGCCTCCTAGCGAAATCTTCAACTTCCCTGTTTGTTCAGAAATGAAGCATGCCATTAATGCGCATGAGGGCTTTGGCACAGGAATATGGGCAGTAAATTCGTTATAGCATTTTCAGTACACATAACAATAGAATAATCAAATATAAACATTTAGCTTGCTCCATATTACAGCTGAACCATTTGATATATCCTCAGTTCTGAATTCTAAACACAGCGACTTCTATTGAACAGCAAGTGAGCACAAACAGGGGTTTCATTATTTCAGGAAAATGACATCTATTTGTAACTGAGCAACACAATAGTAGATGCACAATAAGCACCCCATAACACTTCAACCCATTAGGAAAAATAATGTGTCAACATAGTACAAAATCAGAAACTAAGCTAAGGGCCTGAATAGATGTACAAAAGAGAGATAGATTCCTTACCTATCAAGCTCTTCCTGCATTGCAGGATCAAGTCCATCATCAAGATCACCATCTTCAAAGGGGTACTCATTATCATCTTGCACATCTGAACTTGGGCAAGGAGCTCTAGAAATATTATTAACAGCACCCGCATTGCATGGTACCGCACGGGCACCTTCCTCCTGAACTCAACAGATAGAAAGATGTAAGAAATAAAATTATTCACATAGCATACACTGAAAAATTAGGGTTACAACATATAACCTTATTTACATGTTCAGGGTCAGCCTTTGGGAGGTTCTTCGGATCCTTCCTTCTCTTGTTCTTTTTCTTATTCTTACCAGCTTTCCCACCTCCAGAACCTGTCAGTCAAGTGGACAGCTGGTTACATGCAGTCATGAGGAAAGACTGATGGAGAATGTTTCCATGCTGCATGCTTGCATTGTAGGTATTGGTTTATCTTGAAATGGTAACCAAGCTCAGCCAATAGGTCGATCTTATAACAGAAGAAAATCACAAGGGAGCAACAAAATACTCCCTCTGTCCGGAAATACTTGTCGGAGAAATGGATAAAAGTTTATGTATTTTGAACTAAAACACGTCTAGATACATACATTTCTCCGACAAGTATTTTCAGACGGAGGGAGTACTTAACATTAGTTGACAAATCAGAAGTGCCTAATAGATGTGCCGTCGTAAATTAGATTGGTCCTGCAGCTGACTATTCTTAGAATCATCACACTACTCCCGCATTGTCCCATTAACAAGAATATATTCATTACTGTTCCTACTGGGCAGCGAATCACCCAGATAATCTAAAGCTTTACAGTACCAAGGTATCCACACCACATTTTGGAACAATTCAATCTACACTAACCATTTTCAAAAGCCAATTCCAATCATTATCCCAGTCAGACATAAAATCCGTAAGGTGCACCCAGTGAAGAAACCAGTTACAGAAATATGGGAGCTCATGAAAAGCTGACCGACCAAATGCTCAATTACTACTAACTGGCAGGGAATTATGGGCATATGCATTCACTACGGTAATAACTTGATCCTTGAAATATAGCCAACGCATATGCATTGGTTCAGGACAGCAACTTTTGTTAGCAATTTATGATTACTATATAGAACATATAGCCAATATAACTCGGTCCAGTTACATACCTCCATCCCCATTTATAAAACAAAGTAACTCGTCCAAAGATCGCTCATCCTTTTGCTCTTGCTGTACCTGAATATCCTGAAACAAACCCAACATAACATGTAAAATTCAAACATGAGCAAGACAACTAGATGAAAGAGATAAACATCATTGCACAACATATCAAAGCATGCAAAACAGGTGAAATCTATCAAAATTACCTTTAGTTTCTGGCGCTCCTGTAGTTCTTTCCGTTTCTTTGCATACAATCGATTCAATAAGCGAATCCTGGGATCATCGTTTATATTTTTCAGTGGCTCCAATTTTTCTTCCTGCATGTATGTAAGCTCACAGTAAGTGCTGCCTCAAATTAATAAAGAAAACTCCTGCTGATCCTCAAAAAGAAAAGGTTACATGCCTCCGTTAAGTCATCTGGTAAATGAAAAATATCACGGATTTCCTCAGGTGTCTTCCCTTCAATGATTCGAGCAAGTGCTCGACTAGTAAGATCAACCAATGGCTTTAATTGAAGACTGTCAGCTGCAGATGTCAGCTCACAAAGTTTTTCGGTGTCTATCCTAACAAACTTCTCATCAAATGACTTCCGCTCCTGCGCAATAAACAAAAAGCCTAATAAGATAACTGGAACAGAGGTAAGCTTGTCGACTATTTTTAAATGTACAATCCTAACAGAATACAACATCCAAGTCGGTGAAACTTTTTCCCAAGAAAAATAGTTGAAGCATTCAGACAATCATCCTTATGGTGAGAAAGTAATTCCATAATATCATGTGATTAATAAGGAAACAAAAACAGTATATAACAATCTAAACTTAGACGATGTCCATGGGTTGAAGATGCAAAAAAAGGGAAAGCAGTAAAATAAGGTAAAATGGAGAGGCCAGGAAGTTAAAACATACGGTACCTTGTTGGAGCGCCCTGGGACTTGATGAAACCGACAATAGTCAAGAATCAAACTCAAACTTGATGGATTAACTCTTTCTGGGAGAGCAATAGCATGATTTTTGGATGATCCTGTTCCATTTTTGACAATTTCTCGACATATCATAGGGCAGAACATGGCAACCTCTTCCTCCACTTGCTGTATGGATCCATCAAAGCACTGAAGCCAAATATAAGTCTTCAACGACTGCAAGTTGATAATAAAATTAGTAATGAGTATTTTTCCTTCAAGGCAAACGAATTCCAAACTAATAAATGCACGGGTCATACCTCTGGTTTTATTACTGATAACTCACTTTCTGACATTCTTGCCAATGCCAGAAAAAATATATGGGAGGAATTGGATGCAGCAGAAAATTTACAAGTAACTCCTTTTTAGGTATTCCTCAACCGAGTACTCCAATGGCCAGCAAATAACTGTGCAAATACAAAATTCAGGTATCCCTTATTTACTCTTCTGAACAGGCAATGAACTTAATTTATTTTCTTTGGATTATGCAAAAGCAAGTGATAACCATATCTGAAGAGGGATTTCACATCTAAAACCCTTTTACTCAATGTGGTGCATAATCAAAATTGCCACAAGGAAAGAAACAAGCTGCTGTCCCTGAAAATGTACTGCTGGGCTCACGGCATCGGTTCTGCGCAACATAACTATAGAAGCATACAATTCCAACGAAATGGATTACGCACACACATTCAACAGCTGAGTGGCATGTCAAACATGACAAACTCATCTGTAGCCACAGCCTCAGTTTAGTTACTGTTTTAAGAGGAGCACTATATGGACCAAAGAGCAGTGGCAGACATATTGGGAAATCTAGTATGCGCGCCTTACTCTGATATATGATGATGCCTTCAAAGATTCAATGGCAATAAGCAACAGAAATATGATTTGGCAAACTACACAGCAGAGAGAGCAATCAGTTTAATGGTTTCAGTGAACTATTGTCTTGGACTCTGTGGTGATGGGACAGATTGGAAAAACCAATCTATGCACCTTATTCGATTTTACAGACGTCAATGGGAAGGAATTGAGTCCAATTGAATCCGGCATCCAGCAATGGGAAACAGTCGTATGGGGGAAAAGTCACTCCTAATCAAATCAACAGAAATTCGTCCCTGGGGCGCCCGTTAGGCCCGGCGAGCCCAGGCGCGCGGACCCTGGAACCCTAAACGGATGGGAAACGAGGGCCGAACCCTCGCGCGAAACGCAACCGCGCCCGGAAATGGGGGTTAAACCCTAGCGGGGGAGAAACCGCCGCGGAGGGCGCGGCGGGCGCCCTGGGCGGATTGCGAGGGCCGCCAGCCCCAGAACCCCCGCGGGGGCGCCGGGGCCGGCGGCCAAAACCCTAGCGAGTAGGCCCCGGCGGCGCGAACGCGGGGGCGGACGCGGGGAGGGTTCGAGTGGTTG